CACACACACACACACACACACACACACACACACACACACACACACACACACACACAATTGACATTGACAATTGACATTCATGATTTTGTGCGCACGCGCACGCATCATGAATGTCTGTTCTAGAAGTAAAATGTTTCCCCCTAGAACTGTAATAATTTTATGAAAGTATTGTGATCAGACTTTTTCTTCCCCCATTCTGAAAATAAAATTCACTGGATGCTAGTTTGCTCGTAACCTTTAATCAGAGTTGAACTGGAGGGTTTCATACAGCTGCTGCAGTCATTTTAAATAAATGATAAACAAAAACAAACTGCCTTTTGTAACTTTGTTAGCATATCTTTATTAAAACAAACCAGAGGCTTTTATAGCCCTGGTACATAAGATCAAATGTTTTCCACAACTGGTTTTTAACCATGGTTTTCTATTGAAGACCTTAGGTTTGTGAAAGATTTCTCTTTGGTCGTTCAAATGCTGACACAATAATGATGAGCGTTTTCTCAAAATAATGAGTTAATGTTCCCAATGGTTTTCTCAAGATTAACAAGTTATKGTTTTCCTCTTGTGCATCATTTGGTAACCATGGACATGGTCTGGTCACCTCAGCTGGTCACTGCTGAAGTTGGTGAGGAGGTGAGTTAGTGTTATTGTCCKACAAGGTGAACGTCTCAACATATCTTGATAATGATTTTATATTTTTATACCATGTGGCTAAGCTCTACTGTGATGGACTTGTGACCTGTCCAGGGTGTACGCTGCTCCTCACACAATGTTTGCTGGAGATAGCCACTAGCTTTCTGTGACCTAGAAAAGAGAAGCGAGTAAAAAAGATGGGTGGATGGATGGATGGATGGATGGATGGATGGATGGATGGATGGATGGATGGATGGATGGATATATATTTGGTTGAAGTAATTAACTCTCCAAACAGCATATTGTTGCAGGGTAATTTTCTCTACAACAGCATCAATGCAGTCTTTTCTGTTCCTTGAACTCCTGGATTGTTCTTGCTCCAGATGAGACCTCCACTCACAGGATCAACACCTCCTTATGGCTCCCCTCACTCACTTTAAGACCCGTGGTGACTGGTCCTTCTCCTCTGTGGCCCCCAGGCTCTGGAATGAACTCCCAGTAAATCTGCGCTCCCTTGATAACATTGTCTCTTTCAAGAATCAACTAAAAACCCACTCTTTTACTCAAGCGTTTAGCTAACCATTTCACCATTACTGCCAGCCTACCTCCAAAGTGAATGCTCTCCAACCATGTGTTTTTCTATTATTGAACATACGGCAGATTTCTCTCTCCCCCATTCTCTAGGTCAGAGATTCTTAACCTATGGGCCGCGGCCCAATTGTGGGCCGCAAGCGCCACCTTGAGGGCCTCAAAAGAACAACAGTTTTTAACTTTGGGCCGCAGAGGGCCGCGGGATTTTGAATAAGGTGCAAC